TTTACGACTGAACCTAAGGCTTGCATTTGTTGTTTTAGGGGAAGACTTCCAAATTCCTTTAAGTTTTCCTGTATGCCCCTAATGAGAGGGGGTGGCCACCCATAAGGAATTACAAAAGACAAGAAGCCGTTTACTTTATTTAAAGACCTGTTTTGGGGCCTTTTCCCCTAGCAGGGGCTTTTGTTCACCCCCCTTTGAGATTTCATAGAGAAGTTAGGCATTTAAATTCTCTAGACTAGTATATGAACAGGACCACCCTTAGGATCCTCTTTTTTTTCCTACAGTTGTTGATTGGGTCCTTCCTTTCTTCAATTTTCAGCAGCACTTACTCCCCTTGGATGTTTGGGTTTCTTCTGGTCCAAGAAGCGTCTCGGGAAATAAGCTCATAAACTGTGATTAAAATTTGTTCCAAATAGACAACGCATTTTCTTATGAGCATTTACGTTTGTGGCCCCCCTTTCCTTCAGAGGCCTACCGTTAAACAGTTTCAAAGGTTTAACAAATTCCATTTCAGGGACTTGGATCCTGGGTGATGCAATACCAAATACCTATGTTTAGTTTACTCATGTCTCCAAAGGATTTCTAGTGATTATTATGCTAACCTGCAAATTGAAAGCTTGTACTGTCCTAGTTTTACATCTGATGGAGTTTTCGCTGGATTTGCCAAGGGGTGGAACAGGTTGCCACTTGACCTGCAGTAGAAATGTTTGAACGCCTTTAAAAACCTACCTATAAGAAAATTTATTTATGTCTAACCTGTGCTAGCTACCCTGCCTCAATTATTTATTCTTTAGAGATTTTTTTTCGATCCCATAATCATTTGGGGTGCTGAGGGGTGAAGGGGTCCGTCTTCTGTAATTTCTTCAGAGCTGATAATGGGCTCAGTCCTGCCTAGCCAGAGATCGAAATCTCTCCCTATCTGACTTGAGGCATCCAGATTTGTTTTAGCAGTGGCATTATTTGCAGGCACTGGCTGGAATTTTTGCATGTCCATTATGTGGGCATGAAATTACTGGATTCTAGCTCAATAAAAGGAATAAAGTCAGGCCTACATTTTGACAATTGCAGGAAGTAGCTGATTACCTTTTGTACAAAAGCTACAAGGCCTGAAGTTATTAGCATAACTTAAATTTAAACTTTAATTTCTGTGACTTTATTACAAGTACCAGCTTTTGTATTTCTGGACTATAATGGTAGCCTGACAGATTGTTTTAGACTATAATTTGAACTAGGCACTTAAGTAAATTCTATATAAAATTTGAAGGGAAATTTAAAAATGTTTGGAGACTTGCGTTTAGAAAAGACTTTACTATGCCTAGA